CCCCAAAACCCCAAAACCCCAAAACCCCGCAGTTTTAAATTAGAGGATTGCTTGTTAAATTCCAAAATAATAAATTAAACACTGCTTTAAAAATTAATATATCAATTAATGCAAATACTTGATTGATTTAGGATTTCTAAGTAAAGCTAACTCGTTATTATGATAATCAATGGCAGAATCCATTTATGTCAAAGTTATCAGCATTCCCATGATTCTCAATTTTGATGTTTTCAATTATATCTGAAACTTTTGGATAGGTATTTAGCACTATTTAGTGGGGGTGATCATCAGTAATGAAGAGTCTTGATCCATCGTTGAAAAAGATTGTCTCAATGTTTTCAAGTGCTCTCAAATCCTACTCTAGATGTAAAATCTTATTCTATAGGTGAATTTATTCATCCCTCAATTTTGAAACAAGAGAGACTCTGTCATACTCTGACATGAATGCTCCTTTAGAATTTACAAGACCAAGAACGAGTCCAAGTGTAATACCAATATATTTTAACATTTTAGATTTTATCTTTAATTATAATTAAACTCATTTTAAGAAATTAAGTTATCATAGATTAAGAGACTTAGCTATTTTAGACATCATACTGCCCTGTATCTCAGCTCCGTCATTGGATTGCTTACCTTCTAAATCATCTGCAGGGTCTTCCATCAATATTAAACTTTAGATTATCATTGTTTCCATAGTTGACATAGTGGTAGTTTTTGACAACATTTTAAACTTGAGGGAAATCAGAGACCTCAAGAGTATGGAAAAGCTATCCATCTTCATCAACAACTGGTTGAAGTCTCTAAAGATTATTCAAATCTTGCTGAATATGCGATATAACTTTCTAAGCTTCATTGAATTCTTGTCTCAATTCTTTTATGTATTATAATCTCTCTTGCTCAGTTATAACAATTTTCTTGCTCGAAATGATCCCGACTAATAATGCAACTGCGATTGTCAATAGTTTTCTCATTTTATTAGAATATCTTTTAATTATTATTATTATTATAATTATTTATTATATATATCTTTAATATACCATAATTTTATGCATTTTTACCTAAAGGGGTTTTGGGGTTTTGGGG